AGCCACAGCAGTGAGGTCAGGAGCTACTCAAAGTCCAACCTGGTGTAGGTTTGTGAGCCAGGGAAGTGGCTCGGAATCTTCTCTGAATGCAAAGGAAATTACGTCACAGGAATTTGATTTATATCTTTCTCAAGTTCCCTGTCTGCTGCGTGAACAGACACATTCCTGGTTACAGAGAAGCAAAGGTGTAAGGAGAGATGCCAGATAGGAGGCCATTGCAATGGCTTAGAAGGGAAGGCAGTTGTGGGGATGGAGAAGCATCCAGACTTGGGATATGTTTGGGAGATGTGTTGGCAGGGCTTGCTGACTGGTCAGAAGTGGGGGGAAGGGAAAGAGAAAGAAAGGATAATGAGAATCTTTGGCTCGAGCAGCTGGGTAGATGAGGGGAGTGAGGGGACCAGGTTGGGTCAGTAGAGGACCAAGAGCTTTGCTTTAGCCGAGCTAAGCTTTACTAGTAGATGCTGACTGGACCGCAGCGTGAAGATGCTAGCATCTGGCTACAACAGTCAGGGTTCTTAGGAAATCCACCTGTGGGGATCACCTGTAGATACGTACACCTGCTTGAGGTCATCCAGGAAGAGGGGGCAGAAAGAGCAGGGGCCCTGGATAAACCCCGAGGTTCACCAGCATTTTGAGGACCCATGCCAGCATATGTGATCAAATGAATGCGGTCACAATTTGCAGCACACCTGCAAGGTAAGTACTAATGCCCATCTCCACTCTCAGCAGGGAGAGAGGTCCCAGGGTTTATAGGTAGCATTGCCAGCATCAACCCCACCTGCTAGGAACTGGGTTCCTGCCATTGCTGAGCGCTGTGTCCTCACACAGGGGCTACTGACGTGGGCAGAAAGTCCCAGGGGAACGAGATAGATGGTGACGTCAGAGGTCCCTGATGTGAACCCCCTTGAAGGTGTGTGATACTGCGTGACGACTGCCACTCATCGAGCCTGCGTTTCCTCGTGTGTAAAACCACATTGTGTGTGTGTGTGTTTGCATCTTGCAAATATCTATGAAGTGTCTATTACGTGCTGGGCAATGTTGTAAGTGACAGAGACACAATGGGGAGCAGACACGCTTCTCTGCTTCATAGTCTAGTGGAGGATACAGATGTGTAAACAGGCAATTACAAGGGTGTGATAAGTACTATGATTACTGAGCCACGGAGTAAGTTTTACCAACCTACACAGACTTGCAAGTTACACAGAATTTCCTTTCTTCCAAATCCACATGCAGTAAGGGTCTCAGATGAGACATGTCTAGTCTGTGTAACTCCCATTATCATACACGATGCATGCAAAGCCCCTGGCACATGGCCAGTGAACTGCGGTGGCCATCATGACCACCTGGGTCTTCCAACCTAGCACTGCCTGTAACTTTGGGGCCCACTTTTTCTTACTGTAAATGAGGGATGACAACCGCTAGTTCACAGGGTCGTGGAAAGGGCCAGGGGAGACAGTACATAGGAAAGCATTTGGCAAACTGAACGGAATTATATTAAAATACCAATAAAACATGGTTTCATGTCCACTTGCTAAAACTAAAAACTTAGCACTCGAGGGATACTTGGTGTTAGCCGAAAGGTCTGTAACCAGCACACTGGGCCAGAGGAAATCTATTAAAAAGGTTCTTTGGCCTGGCCAGTGTGGCTTAGCAGTTGAGTTTCAACTTATGAAGTAGGAGGTCACCGATTCGATTCTCAGTCAAGACACATGCCAGGGTTGTGGGCCTGATCCCCAGTAGGGGGCATGCAGGAAGCAGCCGATCAAAGATTCTCATCATTGATGCTTCTATCTCTCTCCCTCTCTCTTCCTCTCTGAAATCAATAATAATAATTTAAAAAAATGTACTGGGTTGTTGTTGGCGTTAAGGTTCTTTGGGAAATACCAGCCTGCACAAGGAAACCTGCTCTGAGTTACCCACAGAAAAAAACACCCTTCTCTCGAGGCCTCCTCCTCCCCTCTCACCTCCTTCTACTACCAGCTTTGTCCCTCCCTTCCCCACCAGCCCAAGGCACCAAATGCTGGAAACTTCCCAGGCTGGGTCCTCATCTGCTTTGTGCATCACCAGAGTCCTGAGTTGGTGCTCGGGAGGCAGGGTTTGTAAAGCTGTCAGGTGTGCCGTGGGCAGTCAGCTTTGTGGGCAGTGAGTGGGCCCTAGGGTTGGGCTGGGGTTGGAAGGGGGGGGGGCGGGTGCGCGGCAGGGACACTGACAGAGAATGCTTCCTGATTTCCTACTGTGGCTGCCTCTGTCCCAGAGCAGAGGATCTGTCTATAAAATGAAAGTTAGAGAAGCCAGAGGCAGGAGACAGAAGAGAGGAGAAGGCTCTGTCTCTCTGTGGTGTGCAGTAGGCACAGGGTCCTGAGTCCTGAGCAGCACTGAAGGGGGCAGAGGAGAGACGCCCCACGCCCCCTGCTGACTGTTCAGGTGGAAGACCCTGTGCAGTCACAACCTGCACAGCCACAGGGCCGGCCCAGGACACTCAGTTGCCTCTTTCCCTGGAAGCCAGCTGGCTGGAGCAGGTCTCCCTTCCCCTCGGTACACTTATTTCCATTCTTAAAATGAGTATTTATTGTGAGCCAACTACCTACAAGGCAGTGTTCTGTATGCTGCAGATGAAGTCCTGCTTTCAACAAGCTTACACTCCATCCAGCCCTGGCCGGACCACCTCACATTTTCTTTTCACCCCACTGCACTGGACCTGCTCGTCACCAAATGACACGGCTCCCATGGTCGCCTCCATGTTGCCAGACCAGCCTTCCCCCCGCCAGCCTCATGGTATCTTCCCTCTCAGCAGCACCCCACACGGACGGCTGTGATGAACACGCTCCTCTTTCCACATCGGTGTCTCTGTGCTCTCGGGCTTTCCTCTGACCTCCCAGCCACTCCTTCTCAACCTCTAAGTGGTCCCTCCGCCAGGGCCACTGGTCTCCATGGCTACCCTGAGGAAGGCTGATATAGCCATTGGTCTGTCTGCTGGGCTCCACCTTCTAATGGAGCCCAGGTGAAAACACGGTCTCCCAACCATCCTCGCCAGCACCCCACGTAGGCGGCTGCTATTAGACTACGGATCCTCCAGCTAGCAAACGTTTAACTTAGAGAAAGGCGTCAGTGCTAGTGTGGTGAAGCTAGTTTTTCAGGGAGATTGTAGGCATTCTAGTTAGGCCATATGACACAGTGAGTGACAAGAAGAATGTGCAAGACAGTCTCTGGCCTCGAGTTGTCTTCCTGAGCATCCTCGACAAGACGTAGGTGTATACAAATATAGTGCTTCTGAATATAAAGAAATCCCAACCATCAGAGCTGCAGGTAGTCAAGTGATCATCCACTTCCTCCTATTCGTTTTCAAAGCCACGATGAGGCAACTTAATCCAGGTCACACCACTGGGTGATCCTGGGAATGAGAATCCCAGCCAGTGCTCTTGCCTCGGCATCTCAATGGGTGGTTGAGAAAAGAAGTGAAGTGCTGTGGGAACTGGACTAAAAGGCCCTCTAGCATTGAAGTTAAAAGCATGGATTCTAGAACCAAACTGCCAGGGTTTAAATCATGAATCAATTACAAATCACAGCAACAAGGCAGCACGTCCTGGAGTGACCTCAGAAAGTCACTGAACTCCTCTGTGCCTCACTGTTTAAATGTGGACCATCATTATACTACCTCACAGGAATAGTGAGGATTAACATCTATATATCTAAAAGCCAGGAGACCAGAACAACAGAATGACCTGAACAACCCATTGTTACGATGCACACTGTGGCAGACAACCAGCCCGATCGGGCCCCGATTAGCACTCCCTCAACCTCCTGCTACCCCTCCTCCAGGCTGGGTCCACCCCTGTTCTGCCGCCCCCTGCAGCCCTTCCCTCTGGCTAGCCTGGCCCAATCAGCCCCCCTCAGGGCAGGCCAGCTGGACTCCACCTGTGCATGAATTCATACACTGGCCTTTAGTGAGTTAAAAATATAGATAAGGTGCTTAGAATGCTGTTGGCACTTGGAGAGAGCTGGTAAGGTTTTATAAACTAATGGCATTTCAAAATGAACAACAGGAAAAAAAGGTTTGTTGAGATCTGTGTGGGTGCCCAGTGCTTCTCTGAATCCCAGGATTCTGGCATGCATCAGGGCTCAGTGAATGAACAAACAAACTAATGCACAGACTAACACATGCAGGGAAAGACCAACAGAGACCAGCTCATGGACTCCTGTCCACTGGAACCATGTTGGTGGGTTCCACCAGGATCAAAAAGCACCTGTTGCTAGTTTCTTTGCCCTTCACAGCACAACAATCTAAGGCAAGAGGCAATAAACACATACAGACCACAGGACACGCAAACATGCAGAATAAACACTGGCATCCAAAGGACAAAGCAAAACCCTGTGGTGTGGGATAAACCTAGGGAGATTGAGAATTAAAGGAAATATGATCTTCCTTCAATGTATGACTCCTGGCAAAGTTCTCAACAGACACAAATTAAGTGAAAGGCGGCCAAAGACAGAACGGAGATTCTTTTGCTCTGTCCAAAAAGATCAGGGGTCAAGGTACGGACACAGATCATGGTCAGTCTTTTCCATCCACTAAAGACGGGCCCCAAAATGGAATCATTCACCGAGGATGGCATTAGAAAGAGCAGGGCCAGCCGCAGCTCCAGAGGAATGACCAGACCTAGATGACATACATTTGGGTGGCTTCTCTGAGGTTTGCAGAGCTCCCCTTTTCAGGGAAGTCAGTAAGAAACAGACCCCCATCCTTTCCCATGGCTCTCCGTAAACTGTGTTTTGTGGAGCAAGCTTGATTCACCCCATCTGACAGGCGTTGACCCACAGCTGGTGAGTGAGATGGGGGCTACTGGCAGGGGCCTCTTTAGAGACACACGCATCTGTCTCGCTGGGCCCTTAGTCAAGGGAAGCCCTCTCCCCTTAACATCCCAGACAGGGCCTTGCCCACTGCCACTCATCCTGCCCAGCTGGGCTACTCCCCGGGACCCACCCCCGCGCCCCCATAGTACTCACTCCCACTCCTTGCGTCGGGCCTGCGGGGTGCTCTGCATCTTGTGCGCCTCGTGGGCCTTGATGATGTCGCGCTGCTCGATGAGGCCCCCACGCCTCCGCTTTATCACATCGGGGCTCACAGGGAGGAAGGGGCTGGAGCTGCCCTCCCAGCCGGTGCCCTCGCCCTCCTGCACCGGGAAGAAGTTGTCCAAGCCGGAGGCGGCGGTGTGCGGGGAGGCCGGCAGGATGCCCACTTCCTCTGAGGCGTCGGCCTCGAGCAGGGCGCACTGCTGGGGTCGCCATGCCTCCTCCTCGGGCAGAGCCAGCACGTGGCGGTGGTGGCCCGCGGACCCTGGCTCAGGGCTCCCGCCTGCAGCTGGATAGGGGCTGGGTTCCGGCAGCCTGCGGCCTGGACTCAGTCCACGCATCTCGGGCACCATCACAGAACATTGCTCTGCGGGAGGGGGAGGAAAGAGGTGATAAAGGAGAGGCGTGGGGGAGGGAGGGAAGGGTTGGGCACAAGGGAAACAGAAGAGAAAAGGGTTAATGGCATTGTCCTCCAGAACAAGACTCAGACTTGTTCACAGGAAGCAATCAGTGATGGTTGAACCCAGGAGCATCCAGGGCACCCACCAGGCCGGCTGCCAGAGGCTGGTACCAAGAGCTGAGCACAACCGACTGGATTTCTGCCCCATACATGTCACAGTCTGGTGCAGAAGACACGGGTCAAAGAAATAACTGGATGCAACACGGACAAATGTCCAGGGTGATGCTTTCCGCAAGGGGAATGAGCAACAAAGGCTTCGCTCGCAGCTCCGCCCCCAAGGGTTAGCTGAGGTTTCTGTCCCCCTGGAGGGGAAGACTTTCTCCCCAAGCCCTGGCTCCTCTAGCGAGCTCCACACCCTGCTGCCCTAACTCTCATTCTCTCTGAGCCAGCCCTGGGCACACTGAGATAAGCTGGATTGAGCCCACGTGCTCCTCTTGGGAGAAACAGGAAGAACGACTCCGACCATACAACATGCCATGCCAGACTGAGGTGGGCGTGGACCTACCTGAGCTTCTAGGGACACCCCAGCCCACCTGGAGGTGGTCGGGAGGGCTTGGTGGAGGAGAGGAGCCCTGGGCTGGGTTTCATTAGAACTTGCCCGGTGAGGGACAGGAGAGGATCACAGGCGAGAAAGAAAGAGCATGTGCCAAGAGGACATAGGGACCCCAAAGGATTCAGAGACAGTTCCCATAGCAAGCCTGAGGTCGGGGGCAGTCCTTCTGGTTGGAGAGGCTCTGAACTTGCCAACTTTCAACAATACCCGCTGTCTCCCTCCCAACACCTCAGTCCCCAGCCTTTTCTCACCCACATTCCAAGCCAGGCTCCTCGTAACCACACATGGCACACACATGCACTGGGCTCTAAGAAGGGCCCTGCACTCTCCATACTCGGAGAAGCCCTGGCATCCAGCTCACTCACCCAGTGCTTCCTGAGCACCCACTGTGCACTGGGGAGGAGAGGGGCCCTCCCAGAATGCCGTCCCCCAGCCCCTGGCCCTGCCTCCCCTGGTGACGCGTCTTCCTCTATGGGAACGTGCTGGTCAGAACTGCATCCTTGGGCCACCGGGGCTGAGTCAATCTAGCCAGGGGAAGGAAGTCAAGGGTCCGGCATGAGCTGAGCTCAGTGGGGAGCAGGAAGGCAGGAGAATAGACAATTCGGATCCTGCAAACAGTGGGGCGGGTCCCTAGAAAGAGTGATTCATGCTCCTCACGTTGTCATTCTGTCTCAACTGCGCTTGATGGATTTTAAATTTATCCTCCATTCCTCCGATGTTTAAATGTCTCTCCCGCACCACACACAGGCACGCAGCCCTCCCTGGGCTGCTCCCACTCCCTCCCAAGCCTCAGCACCACCAGAAACACGAGCAGTCTCCTCTCCCTCCCAGCCCTCCATGGTGAAGATTTCCTGGGCCACCCTCCCGGCTCTCACCAGGCCACCAGGACCTGGTCCCCGGCCTCTGCTTCCTGGCACATCGCACCATCTCTTTCCTTCTTGGATCCCCCTTCCTAGACACTGTGCCAATTTCAATTACATCTTTGCCAAAATTATAGCAGCAATAATATGCGCTGCAGAGCTCCCGTTTCAACGGAATCAATTTTACGAATATCAAAACATGAAATTATCTCATCTTTCCTTTAAGAATTCCTGTTAAACAACCCTTCTATTATTGATATAAATGTTCATCAAGGAAATCTGTCGCCCCTGCCGCCTGCCAAGCCGGCCAGTCCCCAGGTCTGGTGATCATGTGGCTGAGAGAGTCCCTTCTCTCTCAGGCAATCTAGACAAGACTGAGCTAGGTATTCCCGGGAAGGACAGCTGAATCTACTCTACTCTTAGCCTGTCCTCATGCCCTAAATCCCAGCATTCCTTGAGTTCTTTGAGATCAGGGATTTGGTCTTATCTTTCTATATTCAGCACCTGTATTGAGTCCAACACATACTAGGCTGTTGTGGTGATCATTAGTACCCAATATTCTGCCCCCGCCCCTCCTGGGCACATAGTAGGATGTACTTCCTGGCCCAGGGTCATGTGATCATTCTGGCCCCTGAGTTGGGAGTAGAGTTATGAGAGTCACTTCAAGGCTAAGCATTTAAATACCACGAGAGCTCTCGAGACCCAGAGGACGTCCAAGTCTTTCCCTGAAGGACCAGTTAGTAAATATCTGAAACTTTGCAGGCCATTTCTGTTGCAACTATTCGAATTCTGCTGTTGTAGCATGAAAGCAACCAGACAATATGTACATGAATGTGTGGGACTGTGTGCTGATAAAACTTTATTTGTAAACTCAAGTATACTTCTCACTTTCAACTGTGTTTCTTGGGCTCCATCACTGTCCCTCCATCTGTGCCCAGCGGTGCAGGTTCTACAGAGCACTGGGAAAAGGAGGGAATGGAGACCCACAAAACAGAGTCTGGGTTGCCCGCACCACATCATGTGAGGAGCTTCCTGAGGGCAGAGTGGCCCCAACCCAGTCCCTAACCCAAGGAAAGCAAGCCTGCTGCTTTGAGATACGGCCCAGGCACTTCTCTAACTTTCACTTTCCACCCACCTCTCTCCTCATTCTTATTTGGCTAATGAGCAGGGGATGGCACTTTAAATGATGGGCTGGGGGAGGTCTGAGCAGGAAAAGAGCCAAGTGACACCATACTAATGCCTCAGCCCCATCAAACTCTTCCCAGGCTTAGGGGGGCAGGAAAGGGCTCTCCTCCGCCACCCAATCCCTAGCACCTAGCACCCTGCACTGCCAAGAGTCCCTCCTGCTCTACATCTTCTCCTCTCCCATCCTTCCACAAGGAAGATTTTCCGTCTTTGCACCGCATTTCTCTCTCTCTCTCTCTCTCCATTCCCCTTTGAAATTAATAAGAATATTTTTAAAATAATAATTAATAAATAAAAATAAAAACCAGCCTCCTAGGACTTCCCTCCAAAGAGTCTCACGTGGTAGCTCTTGGGTCGACGTAGGAATCTACATGTTTAACCAGCACCCATTCCCCCTGGGAATCACATCTTGACCAACACTGGCCTCAGAGCAGTATATAGTCCTGAGAGGTTGTGCTGGGTTCGTAAGAGGTGTCCTCTTGGGTGAATTAGGATGTTAAAGACCCAGGACAGTGCCCCTCTCACACATTTTCAGTCTCGATCATGAAGTTACCCAAAATATGCAGGATGAGCCCTTGAAACCCCCAACACCACCACCACACCACACACACACACACACACACACACCCTGCAAAACTCTCTTCCTCTGGACTGGTGTCCGTTTTTGCCCACCCCACATTCCTCTCTATATGTCTGTGTTGTTATGGTGACTGTTCGGGGATGGGCTAATGCCCAAAAGCAATTTGACAGGCTGGTGCGTTTTGAATGCAAACCAAGAACCAAGGAAAACATTCTGCTTCGATTCAGTAGAGTGATCACTAAAACACCAGTGTCCCTGTGGGGGTGGGAAGAGCCCGCGATCTGGTGTCAGTCATGCTGCTTGCTAATTAAGTCACCTTTGGTAGGTCACTCGCTCTGGGTCGGTTTCCTCACCTGAACAATAAGAATGTTTTACCACCTAAGGAAGTCCACAGTGAGGATCAATCAAGACAACATCTGGGAAAGAACTTGGGAGACTGTATATGTTACTATGGAGGAAAGAGGAGAGATTGGGAGCCTACAAGCTGGAACAAAGGGATGACTCACGGACAGAATGGAGGAGGATGGTGCAAAATTTCACCATGCCACTCAGAACAGTGTGCAATTTAAAACGTATGAGTGCTTTGTTTCTTAAATTTTTCCACTTAATATCTGTGCACTATGGTTGAATGCAGGTAAGGGAACCCACAGAAAGCAAAACCATGGCTAAGGGGGGAACTACTGGACTGGACTCGGCCTTTGAAAGGAAAAGCAGCCATAGACAATACATGAACAAAGAGGTGTGGCTGTGAGTCCATAAAACTTTACTAACAAAAACAGGCAGCTAACACCTGAGCCTAGAGCTTCCGAGTTCTCCACTCGCCTTTTTCTCTCCAGCCCAGAGACAAAGAGATAAGAAGAGAGCGTGGCAGCCTGTGCAAGAGGCCTAGAAACCTGACCTAGAAGGGGTGTGTATCACTCCCCCACATCCCACTGGGCAGACTCTGCCACCTGCCACCAGGTCCTGCTTAGCTGAAGGAGAGCAGAAAGGCAGCCCTCCTGCGCGCCAAGGAAGATGGAGAAAACCACACTCCAGAGTCCTAGCAATCTCCATCCCACTGCTACTGCCTGTACAATGCTAGAACCACCAAAAGAAATACAGAGGAAATATTTACAAATATGTCAAATCTATTGAATATTGGCCAACCCACTGGGGTACTGATCCAATGCTGAAAAAAATTAGCCACATCGTAATGTGTACAGAGATTAACAAATATACTTTATGCAAAAGCGAGGGGAGAAACCCTAAATGTTGTGGTAAACATCAGTTCGCCAAAGGATTCTGACGATTTGGAAAACAAGACCTCAGAAATGTAAACTGTTGGGTCCTAATCAATTACACTGCAGGCTCCCATCACAGACGTATCTGTCGCTACAGTCCTATGATTCAGGGCTATGCCCTCACTTACCTGCCTGTCAGCTACAAGAAAGCAGAGACCACACCTGCCTTATTCACCACTGAATCCCTACCAGCCTGTCCCCACAGGCATTCAATACGCGTCTATGAAAGGAAAGTATGCAGGGAGGGAAGGCGGGAAGGGGACAGGACACAGAGAGAAAGGAAGATGCTCAGCAGTTGCCCACACTGTAATTTTGCTATTGTCGCCAATGAGGCTTCTTTAGCTTTTGCAGAAATCCTTATAACTCTACTTGAGTGGGTACAAGTGGTTTTAAGAGGCTTTTGCTTGCAACTTTCACATTTGCTTAAGTAGTCAC